GAGAATAGTCATTTATTCTAGATTTACCCAGGCTGATCATCTCCAGATACCCAGACATCTGTCCCCAGAATTTCCCAGCCAATGTGACCATCACTGGAAGATTCTCACTCTATGTATATCTGGGTTGAATCCATGCTGGATAAATTTAATTTCATCCCTCATCCTGGCAATATCCAGCATTGCAGTTAACATTTATTCAACCTGACTATATCCAGGAATCACCTAATACATTGTGCAATTTGAACCAAATAGCTGTCTTCTTTCCAATTTATGATGGATAGTAACCCTGAATAGGTGCAAAACTGGGTTTAGATAAACATTTTATTTCAGATTAGTAGACAGAGAAACCAAATTCCCATGCAGGTATTCTGGCTTTTCCTCCAAATGGGAACACATACTTTCAAAACCCAAACAACTAAGAGTATCCACAAAGAAGTAGTTTGAGATGTGAGGAATGCTTGCTTTTAGGATGGCTATATGTTCCTCTTGGCTTCTAGGTGCTCACTAAGAAAAGATTTTTCAAAATGACCATCAGAGCATTAGTATTTTGTATATTAACATGCTCTGATGCTAAGGAGTTCTACTACTCCTCTCCACCTGAAAAGAAATCTGTTCCAAATGCAAAACAGAAGCAGAGGAGAGAATTTTCAGTTTTAGTTTCACAGCACCAAACAGCTTTAGTACAGAACAGTTGAGCTAAGCCATGCCCAGGCTCCTTTCTGTCTCCTTCTTGCTCACACAGCAAATACTGTTTTAGTTTCTAAACAGTCCTCAACTCTCTCACACTGACAGGACGCTAGCCAGATGAATACCGATGGCTGCTGGTAGGCAGAGGATGAATTTCCCCCCCTTATTTTCTTCCCCCAAAACTAAGCCCGACCACATAGTTTTGTAGCAAAACATGGTTATCGAGCTAGTATAAAATCAAAATGTGTGCCGGCATAAACATTTGGCCTAGAGATTTAGCAGCTGTTCAGTCTGCTATACGGGATCCATTCATGAGCAAGTTGAAAGATTCCTCCTCCTTCTTTTTGCTAATTTTCTTTAGACCAATAGAGAATTGGTTAGCCCTTCAGAGGAGAATCTTTGGAAAATAGGGCTCCAGAACATTTCTTTTTTTTAGCAGAAATATAATGATTGTATTATTGGTAACCAGCCTTGATTCAGTAGATAGTATTCTTTGCACTACAATTCTAATCAGGCTTCCTAAGAAATTATTCCCACTAAATTTTGTGCACTTTATTCCTGTTAAATATAAGAGCAATCGAATTGTTTGACATATAATAAGACATTATAGCATATTATTAGAATATAACTAATTTTTAGAAGAGGTTTCATGTATGTAGACAAAGCACTTAGAAGTTTTAATTCATCTCCTCCCTTTTCTAAACACAGATTTTTATTCACTCTATTAAATAAACATTTGAAGGCTGTTGAGAGCCCTAAATAAGGGTTTTAAACGCTTCAAAAATCTGGCTTCACTATGAATTAAAAATAAACTTCAAAGAGTAATTTTTAACAACCTTTGTGGGAAAGGAGTTTCATTGCTCTAGCTTAGAAAAAAATGGCATCTGAGAAAGATTCTCTAATATATTGAAACTCAAGTCACAGAAGACCTTGTGGGACTTTAAGAGTCACATACCTGCTACCTCCACAAACACTGGTCGTGAATTCTGAAACATATGTTTAGCAATTAAAATAGGCATTTTACCAGTATTTTATTCAAAATGGGAGAGTTTGGGCAGATAATGCAAATATGCGCATGAGTTTATATCCAACTTTATTTTTAAAAAAAGAGTTGTGAAATAGATTTGTTTAAGATGAAGAAGTGTGGTGGTGGTAACCTTTCTTCAGTTGACTCATAATCGTGCTAAATCCTACTGTGGTTTGTTTAGCTTGGCTTGTCTGTCAGAAAAGCAAACCATGATTCTGTGTGAACCCCCAAAGGAGTAAGTTTTTTTAAAGGGAAGGAGCTTGTTAGAAAAACAGAAATAAGGCACAGATTTCTAAACTTACCACTGCAACTGTCTGGCCGTTGGGTTAGAGTTGATATATTATTTTCCTGAGCCATCTGAACTTTACATATTTTGTGTCCTAGACAGTCCAAAACCTGACCTATTTAAAATACTGTAAAACTGGAGAGGTGCCCTGGCTGGAATAAATCTGTAGGTCGTAATGAAAAAGAGGAAGAATTTGATATACTCTGAAACTATTTTAACCCTGTAGTATGAGGATGAAAGGGAGGAAATACTTTCAAACTAAAACTTCAAACTTTCAAACGAAACCTTTACACTGTTCTCCTCCTCTTTCCTATGGCTTTTCAGAATTCATTTACAGACATAAGCAGACATAACCAAGGAATCGGGGTTGTCAAATTAAGATGGCAGCTGTGACCATGTGTTTGAACCTTTGTTCCTCCAACCACACAGTTGTGCAGATTTGATTACCCTGTTCTAGCTCCCATCTTCACTTTTTTTGACATTTCTATACTGTAGATACTCCTAGTACCATCCTGTTGCTAACAAAGGCAAACAGTGCCCCCGTTGCTAATAAACACTGTAGACTAATAAACAGCTGAAAAATATTGGTTCTTTTCTCAAAGCTTGCAATTCACAGCAAAAGAGGGTTCATTTAAGGAAAATAAAACCATTATTTGTCCCCAATGCCCCAAAGGCAATAAATTATTTATATTTTATATTCTGCTAATTGGGAAAGCAGTAGTTTGATGTTTAATGATATGTAACCATTAGCCAAATATTAGGAAAAATCTAATAGCAAGAGAAAATTGACAATGGAACCAGTTACTAAGAAAAGAAAGAGGGTCTCATCTATTGAGTGCTTTCAAACAGGTACTATAAAAAATATAGTTGCAATCTCAACTTTTTGCTTTACATTTCTGAGACACAAGCCAGTTCTATAACAACAAAGTTAATCCAATCATCAAAATCTAAAATCTTTTTCTATTTCAAACATAAAATCCAAAAGCGGTTTCCAAGTGGAAACAAAACTGGATTAGTTTGTCTCTTTAATTAAAACAGTTAGCTTTGCCATAGCCGCCAACTCCATCACTTTTTCCATCCATTCTTCCATTGTGGGAATTGACGTGTCTTTCCATTTTTGCGCATATACTGTAGGATTCTCACCGCTGTCAATTCATATAATAACAAAGTTCCAAATTTTCTTTCAAGTTTTTTTTATCCAACAGCCCTAAAAGGAAAACTTCTGGTTTCAATTTTATCTTTGAAGCTAAGGAGGGTCTCTTCTCAGTCTTTTTCTCTGGTCATTATGCGTCTGTGAGCTTTGACGTTTCTTATCTGATTGTTCTCTAGGCAGCATTTCTTCAGCACGTCTCTCACATATCTCTCTACAATTGAAGACAAGCACCTTGGAATCCATCTAAAAGCCAAGTAGCCATGACTGGTCCTTGTTGAGCAAAGGTGTTACCCAGATGAACCAAAGTGCACCCATAACTCTTTTGCCCACCATATGCATCTTTTGCCCACTATACACATTCAAGTGTATGTTCCAAATACTTTACTTGCCCTGTCCTTGAAGACTATGTTGTCATAGTCCAACTACAAAGAGGCCAAGGCATGAGCAAGCATGAATATAACTTTCCAATACAAAAAAGGCATAATTGCTACATTAAAAGGATTTGTCCAAAGCTACAGCCACTCAAGCTGCCCCATGAACAAGAGTAGTGACTCCAGAAGGACTTCAGTTCCATTTGGGGAAATGCAACTCTATTTAAACTAAAATAGCAAAATTCCAGAAACAGAGGCCCATCAATCCATAGTCGTTCAGCCCTTCTAGAGCTATGTGATTGCCAACTCAGGCTGAGATGAATATGACATTTATTTTTTATTTTATTTTTATTTGTCAATTGCTTACAAGATAATAGGTATAAGTAAACACATAGTTATGAATACATGGATACATATAAGAAAAATAAAATAAAAAATATATAAAAGAAACAATAGGACAGAGACGGTAGACACGTTGGTGCGCTTATGCACGCCCCCTACAGACCTCTATTTATTTAGGGTGTCTAGAGAAATAGCAACTTCAGAGGGAGCTCAGAAATCAGTTGCTAGAGGCTAACATGGCTGAGGTACATTCCAGTTACTTGGAGGCAACAGAAGATGAGGGGCTGGATCTGCACCCTTCTTATAGCTTGTAAGATAGAGCACAGCACAGAACAGAGATCTGCAAGGCTTCTTGCATGTTAAGGATGTTTCTGTCTGTCATGCAATTCCATTTAAGAGCCATTGCTGCCCAGAAGTTATCTGTTGGGAGCAACTGCTCTGCTTGCTAAACCTTCTGTTGTTTGTCTCGTGAACCTGTTGCCTGTGGAAACCACTACTTGGTACGCCGAATGACTGACAAGCCCTGTTTGAACTCTTGGACTGTGACCTGGCTATGCTTTTGTTCCCCCACTTTGGATTCTGGCTGTGCAAACTCTTTGCAGGAAGCTCTCCAGGGATTTGTTGCTCTGCTGCTTTGTGCTTCTGTTTGCATATATGTCCTGCCTGCTACTGCCTGTAACTACTAAATCCTAAGTAAAGCTCCTTGCAATTACCTCTTGGTATGTGTGTGCCCTAGCCTAGGACAGGACTGGTTAAGTATGAATCTACTCTTCCCCATCCGGATCTTAGATCCTCCAGACATGAAGACAGAATTTTGATAGATACAATTGGGTATTATCTGCATATTGAAGAGATCTAACCCAGTGATAGCAGATAACCTGCCTAGAAGTTCATGTAGATATTAAACAGGACTATTGAAATCCACCCATCTTAATGTTGCCAAGGTTGAAAAACACCAGTATAGACAATGTTTGACCCAGAATTGTTCTTATGCTGGCGTGGTTTAAGGCTGCTTTAAGGCCTGCCTTCAGCCCTAGTCCAGCCACACTGGACTATTTCTGACATTCTGTCCCCATTAAAAGTGAAACAACCTTTGGCATTCCAAAGCTTCCTTTAGCATGGAAATTCCATTTCTGAAGCAGATCTCTCTAGGATTTGTGTGTTTTCAGAGGTTTGGAATGAGGGGTGATGGAGAGAAATCCAGAGATGAATCTATTCTGATCGAAGCATACATGGTGCTCTTGTTATTGCTCAATAACAAGGTAGAATTCTCAGCCGGAAGAAGTTTGCCTACCATAGTTAACAGCAAGGTAAGCATAAAATAGCTCAGCAGGAACTGATTTATGATTTAACTTTAGCAGCAACCAAAAGTTGTTTCTCTACCAATTAAGAAAGAAACAGGAATAGATTCCAACTGCACTAATGTAAAAATATTTTTAAGACATCTCAAACTCTTATGCTGACTAATCACAGCCCTAGGAGGAACTTGCATTTAAAAGAGGGATGAAGAAGGCCTCGTGTGTGTTTTGCATATTGCTAATATATATAAAGTGATAGTATAAGGATACATTTAATCAATTGCAATCAGTTGGATTCATACAGTGCATTATGGCTTGACTACAGAAACTCAGCCTTTCACTAATATTGAAGAGGTTTAAAAAAACCTTCAATGGTCTTTCCCTTTATAATCCCCTCCTTCCCATCATACACTGCTCACTTTCTATATATTTTACTCACATCTCTTGCACAATATTCAGACTGAATATGCTCATGCAAGAAGAATCAGCTTTCATCCAAGCTATTGACTGAGGGCCAGACAAAGATACCTGCCGAAACAAAGAGGCGATTCTAATTCTTGAAACAATTGTAAGCTAATAACAAATAACATACAGTGATGCAATGTGATGTACCTTCATCTTAGTTTACCTCCCAGTTATGTTGTTTTCTTCTATTCCCTTGCTGGGCCTACACATCAAACTATATGATGATTTCTTAAATAAGCTGTTGTAACTAGATTCATAAAACCTTAAGCTATAAACCATATCTTAAATGGGTTCATAATACATTTGCTAAAGTCCACAAATACTTTATGACTGACTCATGGGCACTAATAAAGGATGGGCAAGGAAAATAAATTATCTCATACACATGATGTTTTCATGCAGAAGTTGCAAATTATGTAATTTGTACTCTGATATAAATTCCTTTACTCATCTCATTCACAGTAAAATACCATGATGTGCATGAGCTTATCATGGGTTCCAATAGAAGCCAATGGACTCACCGCAATATGTAATCTAGTTTATACATACAGCAGACTTCTTCCACCAAATATATATTTAAAGGAATAAGATTCCTTTAAACCTATATATATATATATATACACACGAAGATAAAAATGCTTGCAGGGAAAAAAACTTATGCAAATACATTTAATATTACCATAATATTTAACTGATCTTGCTTCCTTGTACAATGAAGTTTAGGGATGGGATGTAGATGGCCTTCTTCATGCCCAATTACAATACATAAATAAGTTTGGGACTTATGCACTTTCCTCATATTCACACACACACACACACACACACACACACACCTTCTAGAAGAGGCATGAGAAGATATAAGAGGGAAGGAGACAAAACGCTTTCACGCTTGCAAGATTCTATTAATATGGCCTCTTGCAAAAAGTACAGATTCCTATGAAACCTGTTTTCTGATTTGATCTTCCAAATACTATTTTGTTAAGGAAGGTTTCAGCCCTCTTTGCTTATATAAAGGTTTGTGCCTGTTTCTCTCAAGATCATCTCTCTGATTCTCTACAAGAAAGAAGAAAATGACAGCTTTCATTTCTAAACTAACCACTGTATTCAAACTGAGTTACATTAGTTTTAATAACAGATGGTCTAAAAAAAAGCAATTTCAGATCTATTCTTAAATCTAAAAGTAACTGCACTATACTAATCCAAGTGATTTCATGAGATGCACCAACAAAGATTTATTAGACAAACCATGATTTTGCACAGTATATAATGGAGATTAATGAATAAAAGAAAAAATAGGTTCTGATCAATAGATATTCTTTTATTGTTATTGGCCTAATGTAGATGAGCAGATTATACTAGTGCTCTTACTGGAATTGTTGAATAAAGATGTAAGTGGATGTAAGTTTTTCTATTTTAAGGTCTACAATTTGGAACTTAACCCCTAATGAGAGATCACAGACTGAATGCCAGTCAACTCTCTAAATGTCTAAAAAGTGTCAAAGCCAAGAAAGAGAAAGGAAAAGAGAAAGAAAAAGAAAGAAGCCACCATCCTAAAAGGGCTCAGTTATCATAAGTTATCTGAAAATCTCAGCAACCACTTCATATTTAGCCCTGCCCAGATCAATCAGCTCAATGAACATTTTGTCAAAGCCACCCCTTACTCCTTCGCAGTAGGAGAATTATGAACAGAGATTTGCAGCTCTGACAAGAACTATGTGCCTTTTGTATAAAGAAAGATGGTGAACGTACCACCAGAGACAGAAAAAGAAAATATACACTGAATGAAAGACTGAAGGCACCATGGGGCAAGCCCCAAAGAAGGGAAAAGGAATATGTTCACAAAAAGGGCATGCCTCTCTTGGACACACTATATATTCCCTTTTCTCCGGAAATGGACAAAAAATTAAGACTTCAAGGACAGGCTCCAGGGATCCTGGTTAATTCAAGGTCAGGCATGATATTCTGGGACTACTGGGTCAGCAGCTGGAAACTTAAACAGCTGCTGAATTCATTCTCTCTGCAACTAATAAAAGAGCACCATGTATGCTTCTATCAGAATAGATTTATCTCTGGATTTCTCTCCACCACCCCCTTCCAAACCTCTGAAAACACACAAGCCCTAGAGATCTGCTTCAGAAATGGAATTTCCATGCTAAAGGAAGCTTTGGAATGCCAAAGGTTGTTTCATTCTTAATGGGGACAGAATGTCAGAAATTTTCCATTTTAAAAATATGATTAAATAAATATATAAATCATAGGCCAAACACAAAAGAAAACGGAGAGTTTCTCTTCCCTCCCCATGTGCCTAAAAGCTTTCTGAAGGTCCTGACTGCTGCTTCTGATCTAGCGTGCTAATAAAAACATCCAATGTTGGGTAAACATTTAAAAAAAAATCCTTGTGTTCTTGTTCCAAATTCTCCTGTATTTGGCTGTCATGCACCTCTCTGTTTAGTTCTGTGCAAAGTCTTTGGTGAACTTTCAAGAACCCCGCATTCAGGTATTACACAATGATCTGTAATAATAGATGCATTTCATTTCTATTTATTTTCCATAACAAGTTGTTTACCAGAAGTATTCTGTTGTATTTTATCAAGGTCTTATTGTAGGGTGACCAATGATGAAATGTAGAGATGTGAGGAGGGAGAAAGAGAAGAAAGAACATCCTTGGGGGAAGGGTAACTATTATCTCAGCAATGGAAACTCAAGAAACTGTTACAAAATTAAACTATCATTACAAGAGGGACCTTCTTCGTTGGAGAACTCACCTAATCGCAGCAGGCTGGTGGCCCGGAAAATAAATTCACCAAGAAGAATTTACATTGTTTCATAGAAGGCTAGGCAATTCCCAAAAGGTTTTGAAAGATGCTGATACCACAGTAGTTTGAATAGCATCAGAAACATGTAAAATATTTGTGTGTAAGATGGATATATATTATCAGGATGACTTGTACCAATAAAAATTTCCAGAAAGAGCTTCAAAACAAAGATTGCAGTTTTCAAATTGGAACAGCATGAATAGATAACCATGTCCAGGTACCTGTTTCCAGAATGGCATGTGGGTGAAACACCACTGAGCCAAACTAGTTTAAAACTGTGGAATTCAATGGATCTGTCGTGCCCTTGTTGGAGTCTGATTCTGAGGGGGAGATTGAGCAGCTGACAGGGAGTGGGTTTGTGGCTCCGGTGGCTGTGGAAGAAATGGGAGAAGGGCACAGTCTGGCTGGGCATTCAGAGGAAGACCCAGGGTCACCCCCTCTTCATCCTAGGGCACACAGGGAGGAACAAAGAAGGGAGCAACGTGGCTTACGGGAGAGAAAAAGGCCCTGATCCCTTTCATTAGTTGCAGCTGAGAGGACAGGATATAAGAAGGGCGTTTGCACACAGTACCTTGCTGGAAGCAAAGCGTGCATTATCTTTGTCAAGGCTTATCTGGGTTTTGGCGTCCTCCCAACTGTGTGTGCTTCATTATCTTTTGGAAGTCTGCAATTTATTATCCTGGCCTGTCATGTTACTTACTTCAGTGTGGTTTATGTTGTTTTTTTTATTTCTACTTTATCTGTACTTTGGGTTCGGACTGTATTTCTTCCCTTTGTAGACTGTTTTTGGAAGAGTTTGATCTCCAGCCAAGGATAACTGGACATTGGGAGCCAAGTTGGAGGTATGAAAGAGACTTCACCTATTTTTGTGACTTTGTTGCTTTTGTGCCATACACCGGGTCATCACAGGACAACACTCCTAAACAGGATCTAACAACACTCCTAAACAGCAAACACATTCCTTAATAGGAAACACAACTCTATACCTAATATATATTCCACTCATCCAAGATCAGACAGACTTGAAGTTTGTCTCAACTTAAGTTTTATTTCATGAGCCCTTACTGCTAACTTAAGATATGTATTCTGTATAACAATTGCTGCAGTTCATCATGAAACCAACACATTACTGCCTCTGAAATTCTGAGAAATTGTCCAGCTACCTATACAGGATAATAGAGCACAATAACAGTCAAAATGTTATTTTCCTATGCTACCATTAGCCAGACTTAATGCTCTCATGGCTGGCAACAATGGGAATGAACCTAATATATATGGAATAAACCAGATGTGATGCTTTCTCTTGTACTTTTCTATGAGAATCCATTCATAATGTTTTGATAACAGCAAAATTATTCACCTTCCGGCAGTAATCACCATTTGTCACTGACCACTAATGAGCCTGGAGAGTAAAAAAAGAAGTGGTTCCCTCAAGAAACGAAGATATTTTCCTCCCTTTGGAAAACAGTTCTTCTAAAGGATTCCAATGTTTAGTAACAGAACAACCTATTCATTTACATTCATAAGCTGGTTTGTCAAGGGTATCTGGCAATGTGTGACCATCCTA